TCCAGCCAGCCAGAGAACACGTTTCGCGTGTGTAAATAAACCAACGTAGACAGCGGAAGGAAGGAAGGAAGGAGGAGGAAGAAACAGCAGAGTGTTAGTAGTTCGTTGATAGAGAGTAGTGAAAAGTTTTTTAGTTATAAAGTTTGCGAATGGACCACACTTACCACGCAACAGGAGAGAATGAACCCGAACCGTCATCTGCGAGGAAAAGAAGATGCAACTTCTCTCCTTGTGATGCACTCTCTGTGGCGCTTTTCCTCCTGATGATATATCTCCCCAACGATGGTAGCAGTAGCACCGAATCCCATTCTGTGCAGCTAAATGGGAGCGAAGGATTCAGCCTCTCTTCTCGCCCGCTCAGCGTCGAACACAGAGTTCCTCATCTGTATGCTCCGGCTCAAACAGGTATGGCTCTGGGTCTGTGTCCGCTACAAGAAACTCTTCAAAATCGCGTTCAAAGTCGTCCATTGCAGCTACTATAGTCCGGAGATATTGCTAAGCTAAATAAACAGCTGAGCTCTGTTTACAGGCTACGCTGTCAGTCAGTGTGCGGGCTGGAGATTGGTGGAGCAGAGAGGGGAGGGGGTCCCCGCTAGGTATTGTAAACGAGTATGTGTGTATGGAGTGTGTGTGTTACACTAGAAGAGTCAGAGTTTGGGACAGAGTCTTTTACCCCCTGGAGTGTTACCAGAGTTTTTGGAGTGCTCAAATAAACAGGCCTTTTTCCCGAATGCTCCTCTGGTCTCCTGCTCGTGAGGGATTCATTACAATATCGTAACATGGTTTAGATTTCTAAATAAATATTCACCTCGTCGCTAGATAGACCTACTCCTGAAAAACTCTTGTCTGTGCAAGGCTTTTTGTCCCTATGAGGCCACCGTCATTTACCCGTCGGGAGGGGTGAGCGAGTGAGCCCTGCAATCTAGAATTTGACCACTGATGTCACTGTTTTCAAACCATTTTACACACTGGCCCTTTAATGTATGTGTAGCAGACGGTGCACATTTATCTTTAAAAGGAGAGCCTGAGTCAGAGCGAGGAAAGTGTAAATAAGTTAACCATAAAGTTAATAAAAAAGTTTTATTCAGTGTTGTCCGTTAATTCATCATTTATCAGACTTACATTTCCTTAATGAAGATAAAGTGGTGGAATCTGACTGTGTATCAGGCTGTAGATACATTATGTTATATTAATAATATATAATAACATATTTGTAAGAGCCAAATCAAATGAAAATGTTTTTTTGCAGTTTGCATAATATTAGTTAGCATTTGAATACATAGGGTAAAGATGTTAATTTCTCATGATAGCGTATCATTTGATATGAATTTAATATGAATTTATTGCGCATGTCTGATGCCTGAAAACATACGTCAGTGATTAGACAGGTGTGTGTTTTTTGTTTGACACAGGTGTGCTTTGATTCAGACAGTGTGAGCAGTTTGGATGTTAACAGCTTTTTACCGTGTCCGAGCCTTATCAAAGAGTATGACTTGTACTGCGCACCTTTTTGTTGGATTAAATGCAAGGACGAACTGCAGTCATGTCTGAGTGAGTTATGTTCATCTATGGATTGGATACGAGTTTGAAAACCGTCTACTGCGCACGCTGAAGGAAGTTGCTTGATTAAAGAACGAAAGCTAAAAACTGAAATTTGCCACTACAGTATTTGTTCAGATTTAATCTGATGGGGAAAAACACAAGAGGCAGCAACTGAAAAATAGGAAGATTTAAAACATATAGGCTAGGCTATAGATCAAAGACATAGAGACATGACTGTAAACTCACAGTCTGACCCAGTAATAATATGTTTGGTGATTTGCACTTAAAAAGACGTTGAGGTTAAAATACAGTAGATTTTAAAATGCTGGACATCTATTTGTATCTTGACTCAACAGCATTCAGTGACTTTATTTCAGCTACAAATGTAGTAAATTTAAAGACACTGAAATGCTGCACCATTGCTCACTCAGAAATATTAACATATAATCCCCAATATTAGGCTATAGTAATTATGTTCCATCAGTGCGACCAATGACATCAGTGATAGAGATCATTAGTCATTGATACTATGTGTCTAAAGCTTCATACTGATTTTAAAAGTTTAAATAATTAGACCTACACATTATGTGCAATAAACATTTCAGAGCTGCTCTAACAGACTGACAGTCTGATCCTTGTGCACAGTGTTATAAAAAATAATAAATATAAAAAGGACAGAGGTTTGATTCAGAGCTGAGGGTGAATTCTCGCTGCGTAATATTTGAATGTAAAGACAAAAACGGATGTCCAAAGAAATGATTGATGTGCATAAATTCAGTAACTTAAGACAGTCCTGAGTAACAAACTAATATCGAGCTAGATTTAGACTGTGACAGACGGTCAGTCTCCGCTAATGAATGTTGAAAGTGGTGATTTGCTAAATACATCCTACAATAATAAATTAGATTAACTTTTGGTCTATAATATTGTTGGCTATATTACGCATATCAATAAAAAAAATAAGAATAAAAGAAATAAACACCGAAATAATTAGTGGAAACCTTTTTTATTGATACTCCTCCTCTCTGACACACTAACACACACACACACACACACACACACACACACACATAGTAAACACGCAATTGAATGAATGAATGAATGAACATTGGAAGCAGTTTAGCCGCAGTCCACCGGCTGGCGCAGTCACTGTTGAGATTACATTCGTTCAGTTAGTAACAAAATGTTTTTTTTATTGACCGTATGAATGGTTTTGTTTTTAAATAAATATTTGTAAACGAAAATGTATGCTTTGGTGTACTTTTACAGAGTTTTGCAATATGTAAAGCCTACCTGTATGTATCAAAAGGTGTCATTTTCAGCAGCGGTCTGTGTGTAATCCGCTCATAATTACTTTCATTCGGCTCAATGCTCTGACCAGGCGTTGTTGTTGGCTTCCCGCTGTGGAGCCAAGGCCTCTGTGTGGCAAAACTGGAAGTGCACCTTCACCGTGCCGAGGGCGAAAGAAGGCCATCCAAATAGAAAGATAGACTGAGAGTTTGAATTTGAGTTAAGATAATTAATTGGTTAAAAAGGAAAACAATCAAGGCATTGAGGATGGTAGTCCAGATTGTCCGGCCGGCCAGCATCAGCTTTTTCGTCACATTTTTACAGCTGCTCCTCTCATCCATCGATCAGATCAGCTCTGATTGGAGCTCTTGATCAGTTATCCACCCCATGACTCATACTACTGCTGCTAAGGAAAAATACAACCAACTAAGAGTTCCACATGCACTACCTTTGTGAACCCGTAAAACCTCTGAATTTCAAGAGGGGACACAGAATGATTCAGACGGACCCAAAAGAGACTAAAAAAGGCATGGGAGCTAGGTAGAAAAAAGGGCTTTTTCTATCAAAGGAGTCTGGTGACTGTGGACGGGGACAGCAGCAAAACCTATCTTAGCCACATAAAAACAGGGTCACCTAAACAATATCCACATCAGTTTAAGTGGACACTACATTAAAAGTTTTTTCAACACCTAACCATGCTGTCAGACAGCCCTTTACAACTGAAAACTGATGCAGTTACATGATGCTCTCCTAAAAGCAACCAGACTCCACTGACATAATCAGTAATTTTACCTCACAGAACACAATGAGTCGCTGGTCTTCAGCTGCCCTTCAACTGGACAGTTAGTTTGTGTTTTTGTGTGACTTTTGGAACCAACCTAACCATGTAACTTCTCTTATCTGCTTCTCCAAACTGGGAGAGTAAAGCTAATAACACACAATTCCAAATGAAGGCTGATTGATGAAGATCGCTCAGCAGCTTCAGTGTTTCCCCCATCATTATATTATCCCTTCCCTCCAGGAAGGTCTAGTTAATTTTATAGAATTGTATCTTCATTATAGCACCAGATCACAACAGAAGTCATTTAAAGTTACCTTTCCTATAGAACAGGTCTATACTTTGTACTTTTATTAAACAAACTAAATGGTCTTATATTATTTAATTTATTTACACCTTAGCATGTCATTTCCTTTTTTGAATATTTTATTTTCACTTTTTAATTTTACAAGAACAGTACAACTTATTCCCACTAAAACTCAATAATAAAAGATACACAGTTAAAAGACATACCATAAAAAAATACTATGGGATGACAGAATAATTACATAAGCTAAATAAATAAAACAGGAAATGAAAAATCAAAATAATAGTAATAAAGTAAATTACAACATAGTGTTTTAAAAAAAAGGCAACACAATCAAAAAATGTATTATGCTGTAACACGCTTGTCACTGTTTTTTTTTTTTTAAGACTGAACTGCTGAATCATTTTTCTTCTTCATGAATTTTCATGTGTATATTGTAACCAAATCTTTTCCCACACTCCAAGCAGCTGAATGGTTTCTCTTCTGTATGATATTTTATGTGTTTCTTTAAACTTCCCTTTTCACCAAATCTTTTCCCACACTCAGAGCAGCTAAATAGTTTCCCATCAATCAAATTATTGACGGGGACGTGATCATTTTTCAGAGAGTTTAAACCCGACTGAGGTCTGCTTCCAACCATCACTGTCATCAATTTCTGGTTCAGAAGATGCTCCAGTGTGGTCATCAGTCTCAGGTTGTAAATGTCTACACAGATCCAAATTCCTGGCTGGTTCTGGTCCTCCACAGTCCTCTCCTTCCACTTCTGTTCTCATCTGCTGCGTTTGTTTTTGATGAAGCTGTGGGGACTGAGGTTTCTCTTCATCATCGTCACTCTTGACAGGGACAGGAGTTGATGTGAACTCTCCTGTATGAGCTCTCATGTGTTCCTTCAGACTTCCATTTTGAGTAAATCTTTTGCCACACTCAGAGCAGCTAAATGGTTTTTCTCCTGTATGAGATCTCATGTGTTCCTTAAGACTTCCATTTTGAGTAAAGCTTTTGCCACACTCAGAGCAGCTAAATGGTTTTTCTCCTGTATGAGATCTCATGTGAATTTTCAGACCTCCACTTTGACCAAAGGTTTTGCCACACTCAGTGCAGCTAAATGGTTTCTCTCCTGTATGAGATCTCATATGAATCTTCAGATGTTCCCTCCGACTAAATCTTTTCCCACACACAGAGCAGCTAAATGGTTTTTCTCCTGTATGAGATCTCATGTGGTCTCTCAGACTTCCACTACGACCAAATCTTTTGCCACACTCAGAGCAGCCAAATGGTTTCTCCCCTGTATGAGATCTCATGTGTGCTGTCAGATGTCCCTTTTGTTGAAATCTTTTCCCACACTCAGAGCAGCTAAATAGTTTCCCACCAACAATCAAATTATTGACAGGGACGTGATCATTTTTCAGAGAGTATAAACCCGACTGAGGTTTCTCTTCATCATCGTCACTCTTCACAGGGACAGGAGTGGATGTGAACTCTCCTGTATGAGCTCTCATGTGTTTATACAGATGCAACTTTTGACCAAATCTTTTTCCACAGTCAGAGCAGCTAAATGGTTTTTCTCCTGTATGAGATCTCATGTGAATCTTCAGACCTCCACTTTGACCAAAGGTTTTGCCACACTCAGAGCAGCTAAATGGTTTCTCTCCTGTATGACATCTCATATGAACCTTCAGATGTTCCCTCCGACTACATCTTTTCCCACACACAGAGCAGCTAAATGGTTTTTCTCCTGTATGAGATCTCATGTGGTCTCTCAGAACTCCACTGTAACCAAATCTTTTCCCACACTCAGAGCAGCTAAATGGTTTCTCTCCTGTATGAGATCTCATATGAATCTTCAGATGTCCCCTCCGACTATATCTTTTCCCACACTCAGAGCAGCTAAATGGTTTCTCCCCTGTATGAGATCTCATGTGAATTGTCAGATGTACCCTGTGACCAAATCTTTTCCCACACTCGGAGCAGCTAAATGGTTTCTCACCAACAATCAAATCACTGACAGAGACTTGATCATTTTTCAGAAAGTTTAAACCTGACTGAGGTTCTCTGGTCTCCTTCCAATCATCACTGTCATCAGTCTCTGGTTCAGAAGACTCCTCAGTCTTGTCATCAGTCTCTGGTTGTAAATGTGTATCTGGATCTGAGTTCCTGGCTGGTTCTGCTCCTCCACAGTCCTCTCCCTCTGCTTCTGTTTCCATCTGTTCAGTGTGTCTTTGATGAAGCTGTGAGGACTGAGGTTTCTCTTCATCATCGTCACTCTTCACAGGGACAGGAGTGAATGTGAACTTGGTGATATCATCGTCCTCCAGCCCTTGAAGCTGCTCTCCCTCCTGACTGATCCAGAGTTCCTCCTGTTCCTCTTTAATGTGTGGAGGCGCTGGGTCCTCCTGGTCCACACTGGAGCTCCACTCCTGCTGCTCAGGGGGAACCTCTTCTTTAACCACCAACAGCTGCTGGACGTCTGCAGGAAACAG